AATGACTACATAATTCCCTTTCTTCACATTACCACACTGAATGCTATGAGCTTTACTCAGATAGGCAGGGCCTTCTTGTGTCTCTTCCTACCCTTCTCATCAAAGAAGCATGAGAAGAATAGACCCTAGTAGGGTTGCCGCATTTTTATGGTCGGGCCAGGCCGGGCTATTATGGGCTCAAAGAGGCCGGGCCTATGGGCTGGGCTGGACTTTAGACAACCAAACCCAAGCCTAGTCCATGGCCCACAATAGGTCAGCCTAGGATTTTTCTCGATGATCCAGCATGCCTCATTAGCCCATGAGCTCACGGGCCGATTTTATAATAAAAGACCCCTTTAACAAAAACATATAACTATTGTAATAAATGTCAAACTAGAAATACTACTTACACATAGGTTATATATTATTTTTTGTTATTATTTAAATACAAGATTTCACACCACTTCAATGCTACTTGTTTGGGCAATGGTTTTGGTGAAAGAACATAAGTTGCAAAACTTTGAAATTCTATTTTAAAATTGAATGTCAAATCATATCCCCGTTTCTCTGTCCATTATATACAACCTTTCCACAATTCAAGTCTCATACTCATTCTTCAAGTTAAAAGTAATAAGGAAGATATTAAGAAATATTATTATTGTAATTTATTGTAATGTATTTACTTTCCTAAGTTAGTGTAGATCAAATCCCACCAAAGGTGGATCAGGAATTCTAGGCCTTAGACATAGAGTTTGATTGATTGTAGGACATATATATGCCTTTTACTGTTGACGATTGCAATTACTGAAATTCATCCAACACCAATCAGCTATTGTCTATTCTTATGATGGTATCAAAGCACCGTCTTGGTGCCTGATTCCCAAACCTTTTCAAAACCCTACAGCAAACCTGCAACCACCATGTTAGACGAAGAACAAATACTACTAGAAAACAAGAAATTCAATTCCAAAAATTCGAGCAAGCAGCAATTCTGGTACGGATACATCAAATCCATACTATGTTCATTCTTCGGACCACCCAGGTCATATGCTCGTTCCAACAAAATTGGACGGCGCCAAATATCCATCTTAGAGTAAATCCATGATTCATGCCCTCATAGCCAAGAACAAAATTTTCTTTGTCAATGGATTCATCAAGCCACCCTTAGAAACAGAAAACCCGACAAAATATGCTCTCCAGAATCAATGCAACAATATGATTTTATCGTGGCTTGCTCACTTTGTGAAACCCGATCTAGCCAAAAGGGTTGTCCTCGCCAAGACTGCTCATCAAGTATGGGAAGATTTCAAAGACCAATTCTCACAAAAAAATGCACAAACACTCTATCAGATTCAGAAATCCATTGCCTCTCTCTCACAAGAAACCATGGCAGTCTCGGCCTATTTCACGAAACCCAAAGGCCTTTGGGATAAATTAGAGACACATCGAACGCTTCCGACTTGCAACCAGATGACAACACAAAATAAACAAATAGAAGAAGATCGTATGATGCAGTTTCTCACGGGTCTTAATGACACCTACAATGGTGTTCGCGACAACATTCTCATAATGACACCTTTGCCTAATGTCCATCAAGCTTACTCATCATTCAAAATGAAACACAACGACAAATGACGTCGAGATCAATTGAGAACTTCTCCTTTGCTACTGCAATACAGAGTCGACCAATTTTTTTTTTTTCAAATGATTCCACTAATGTTGGGCCTTAAATTTCCACTGCACATATTGTAATAGGACTAGTCATATGGAAAGATTCAAATTTAAGAATGGGACATGGGTTCTCAAGAACACAAGAACCTAAGGCAGTTGACAAAGTCAGAAACCACAGTAGCATCATGGGTCTCAAGGAGGAAATCAGTATGCTTCATTCCATGCTGCCAATGCGCATGCTTCTTTTCCTTCTGCCAACACAGCAGAACCATCTACAGCCAGCCACCCCGCTTCAATGTCAACTACAACATCTCAATCTCCACCCAGACTTAATCACATTTTGTCCCATCACTGTCCCTCATGTTGAAGGCCTTCATGAGGGCATTAAGTTTGCCTATGAGGTCTCGACAGCTTTGATCCATTTGTTTTGTGTTGATGTGGATCAAAACTGTGACCAAATCCAAGTAATCCTAAAAGCCAGCGTCCTCGGCCATAAAATCGACATGATTTTCTTCTGCTTTGTTCATTGGGTACTAGAATTCACAAGGAAACTTGGGGTTGGGATCAAATCTATTTACTACATCACTACAGCTGCAGCTGTGCATGTGTTCTCTGTTGTGCCGGCACAAAGTTATAGCCCTAACCTTACTGGTATTATTATCGAGGAACAACTACGAGACCTACCTCCTGGATACCAATCACATAAAGTGGTGCTGCTTCTTGGTTGTGAAATTCGCTCCACGTTAGTGTTATGGAAGCCATTTGGATTAGGTGGGCCACACTTTACTAGAGGTTCACAAATGCCATCACAGAAAGTGACGCGTTAAGAACATGTAGAGAAATCAACCATTTTAAGCTACCCATTAGTTAGGTGCCTTGTGAGCCATTGTGGGTTTGGATCCATGTAGGAGTCTTTGTTGAGTGACAAGAAGATTGTGTGGTTCCGAACTTGTATAACCAGATTATGAACTCCATGATACTGGTGAAAGAGCTATGGAGGTAGAGAGAGAAGAAAATGGATGGTTTTCAAAGGATAACTTGAGCAAAACCATTACAATTATGATGGATAAGGAAAATGAGTTGGGTGTTTCTCTGAAGAAGAACCTTAAAAAATGGAGAGGGATACTATCAGAGCCAGGGTTTATGAGCGATTATATTGATAGGTTTATCCATAATCTAAAAGAGCTTTGTATGGTTGTAAATTAGTTTTAGCCTTTTAACCAAGAAATCTCATGGTTTTGGTTTTTTCAATCTCATATTGTTCTTATGTGTTGTAATATAAGTAAATAGGGTGAATTTCAATTTTGTATTACTAGTATATTGACGCAAGTACTAGAGGTGTCAAAGGGGCCGTGCTGGGCTAACTCGTCTCATTTAAACTCATGCTTTTAATGATTTCGTGCAAGGCCGAGCTGGCCCATTTAATTTATCTGGTCGTGTCGTGCTGACCCACTTAGTAAAATCATTGAGTCAAGCCTACACAAAGCCCATGTCCACATTGAAACGGGCCGGGATCGTGCCATACTCGGGTCCAAGAACTAACTTATTTAATTTGAATTTTTTTCACTTGATTTTTTTTTCATTGGAATCTCTTTCTTGACCCCCAAAAAAACTCAAATTCAGCTACAACATCTCAATCTCCACCCAGACCTAATCACGTTTTATCCCATCACTGTCCCTCACGTTGAAGGCCTTCATGAGGGCATTGAGTTTGCCTCTGAGGTCCCGACAGCTTTGATCCATTTGTTCTGTGTTGATGTGGATCAAAACCATAAGCAAATCCAAGCTATCCTAAAAGCCAACTTCCACGACCATAAGATCAACATGATTTTCTACTACTTTGTTCATTGGGTACTAGAATTCACAAGGAAACTTAGGGTTGTGATCAAATCTATTTACTACATCACTACAGCTACAGTTGTGCATGCGTTCTCTATTGTGCCGACGAGAAATTACAACCTTAGCCTTACTGGTATTATTATCGAGCAACAACAACTCGACCTACCTCCTGGATACCAATCACAAAATGTGGTGTTGCTTCCTGTTGAAATTCGCTCCATGTTAGTGTTATGGAAGCCGTTTGGATTAGGTGGGCTCATACTTTACCAAAGGCTCACAAATGTCATCACAGAAAGTGACGCATTTTGCATAAGAACATGTAGAGAAATCGAAGGTCATTTCTGCGATTATCTGAGCGCACAACACAAAAAGCCTATGATTTTAATTGGCCCAGTTTATGGGTTGGAAGATTTGAACAAGAATAGCCCACCTTTAGAAGACATGTGGGCTAACTGGCTTGGTGGGTTTGAGGAAGCAGGGTCGGTGATGTTTTGTGCATTTGAGAGTCAGTTAATCTTTGAGAAGGACCAATTCCAAGAGCTTGTGTTGGGGTTTGAGCTAACTAGGTTGCCCTTTTTTGTGGTTCTCAAACCACTTGCGGCCTATGCAACAATTGAAGAGGCACTGCCAAATGGGTTTGAAGAGAGGGTGAAAGGGAGAGGGGTGGTTTTTAGGGGTTGGGTGCAGCAGACAACCATTTTAAGCTACCCATTAGTTGGGTGCCTTGTGAGCCATTGTGGGTTTGGATCCATGTTGGAGTCTTTATTGAGTGACAAGTAGATTGTGTTGGTTCCGAACTTGTGTGACCAGATCATGAACACCATGATACTGGTGAAAGAGCTTAAAGTTGCTATAGAGGTAGAGAGAGAAGAAAATGGATGGTTTTCAAAGGATAGCTTGAGCAAAACCATTACAACTGTGATGGATAAGGAAAATGAGTTGGGTGTTTCTCTGAAGAAGAACCTTGCGAAATGGAGAGGGATACTATCAGAGCCAGGGTTTATGAGCGATTATATTGATAGGTTTATCCAAAATCTAAAAGAGCTTTATAAGGTTGTAAATTAGCTTTAGCCTTTTAACCAAGAAATCTCATGGTTTTGGTATTTTCAATCTCATATTGTTGCTGTGTGTTGTAATATAAGTAAATAAGGTGAATTTCAATTTTGTATTTCTAATATATTGATGCTAGTACTAGAGGTGTCAAAGGGGCCGTGCCGGGCTGACCCGTCCCATTTAAACTCGTACCTTTAATTATTTCATGCAAGGCCAGGTCGGCCCATTTAATTTATCTGGTCGTGTCGTGCCGACCCACTTAGTAAAATCATTGATTCAACCCTACACAAAGCCCATGTCCACATTAAAACGAGCCGGGATCGTGCCATTCTCGGGCCCAAGAACTAACCCATTTAATTTGAATTTTTTTCACTTGATTTTTTTTCACTGGAATCTCTTTCTTGACGCCCAAAAAAATTCAAATTCAGCTACAACATCTCAATCTCCACCCATACCTAATGACATTTTTTCCCATCACTGTCCCTCACGTTGAAGGCCTTCATGAGGGCATTGAGTTTGCCTATGAGGTCCCAACAGCTTTGATCCATTTGTTCTGTGTTGTTGTGGATCAAGACCGTAAGCAAATCCAAGCAATCCTAAAAGCCAGCTTCCACGACCATAAGATCGACATGATTTTCTACTACTTTGTTCTTTGGGTACCAGAATTCACAAGGAAATTTAGGGTTGGAATCAAATCTATTTACTACATCACTACAGTTGCTGCTGTGCATGCGTTCTCTGTGATGGATAAGGAAAATGAGTTGGGTGTTTCTCTAAAGAAGAACCTTGTGAAATGGAGAGGGATACTATCAGAGCCAGGGTTTATGAGTGATTATATTGATAGGTTTATTCAGAATCTAAAAGAGCTTTGTAAGGCTGTAAATTAGCTTTAGCTTCTTAACCAAGAAATCTCATGGTTTTGGTCTTTTCAATCTCATGTTGTTGCTATGTGTTGTAATATAAGTAAATTGGGTGAATTTCAATTATGTATTACTAGTATATTTATGTTAGTACTCGAGGTGTCAAATGGGCCGTGTCGGGCCAGCCTGTCCCATTTAAACTCGTGCTATTAACGTTTTCGTGTATGGCCGTCCCGTGCCAACCAATTTAGTAAAATCAATGATTCCGGCCCTACTCAAAGCCCATGTCCACATTGAATTGGGTCGGGCTAGGCTGGGCTCGTGCCGTGCCCGTGATCGTGCTATACTCGGGCCTAAAAACTAACCCATTTAATTTGAATTTTTTTCACTTGATTTTTTTTTTTCACTAGATAAACATTAATCAATCAAACATCCAAATAATATGAAAGGGCAGAGGGAAAAAAGTGTGAAGAAATGTCTTGCTTTGATTATAAGAGAAGCGTATATATCCTATGTACTAATTAGATATCAAGTCCAATGTTGTTTAATTAATTAAGGCCTGAGTAATTTTCCTAGAATGAAAGACATCAAATATATATTTATGATTTAAAAAAAAAACATATAAACATTGACATTAGATGTCAAATTATTGCATTTTGACTTTTGAGAAAGAAAAATTGTTAAGTGGGTCGGGCTTGGGCAGTGCTTGAAGTGGGCTCAGGCCAAGCCTGGCCCAGTTTGGGCCATGGGCCATCCCGGTCCATTGGACCTCATTTTTTAATCCCGGCCTGACCCAAGTTTTTGTGTTGTGCCGAGCACAGCTCATTAATATTTGTGCTCGTGCCGTGCCGTGCCTCATTTAAACTAGTTGGGCTCGTGCTGTGCTGGGCCGGCCTATCCCTTTTGACACCTCTAGTTAGTACTCGTATTATCAGTTGGGTAAAGTGCCGAATGGCCCCCTAAACTTGTACATAACTATCAATTTTCCCTCTGACCTTTTTTTTTAGTGAATTAAGGGCTCAAATTAAATTTTATTATCAATGTTCCCCCAACCGTCAAAAGCCCCACATTTCATCCATTAATCAGTCAATTTGACTCACGTTGACTCTTTTTTGAGGTTTATTTTGGTCATTCCTCATGGATTGAATTACCCATGTGAACCTCATTTCTCATTTTGTCCACCAAGGTTGGTTCTCCATTTGTTTCTGGTGATTTCAATCTATTTGGGGAGAGAGAGAGAGAGAGAGAGAGAGAGAGAGAGAGAGAGATAAGGACTAACTTACCTAGCAATTTTGATGGCTCACACAGAGGGAGTTCGAAGTTGGAATACGGCAGTTCAAGGACGTTGCCGTCACGAGTTTGCTTACTGTGGGAAGGTTGCAAAAATTCAGACTTCTTGGACTTCTTCACATCCGGGATGAAGATTTTATGTTTGTGCGCGAGTGAGTTGAATTTTGAAGTTTGAGTTTCTAATTTGTAGTTTTGCGTTTCCAAGTTTTAAAACTCTGTCAATGCAGAATCGTTGTCAAATCTGGGAGTGGGGTGACCCTGTTATGTGTCATAGATCTAAGAAAATAATTCCAAGACTGCTGAGGAGAATTAACAAGTTGGAAGTAGAAAAAAGGTAGGGAATTCGAAGCTAAAAAAACCCATGGTTTTAGGTGTCATTGTGCATGTTTGGGGTTATTATGTGGTTGATTTTGAATGAAGATAGAGGCACCACTGGGCAATTGTAGAAAGGGATGGGTAGTTGGCATTTTGTAAGGGTTATAAAGGGATGGGTAATTGGCATTTTGTAATGGTTAGAAGGGATGGGTGTTTGGGTTTTGTAATGGTTAGAAAAGGATGGGTGATTGGCAATTTGTAATGGTCATAAAGGGATGGGTAATTGATAATTTGTAATGGTTAGTAAAGGATGGGTGATTGGCTTTTTGTAAGGGTAAGAAAGGGTGTATAATTGGCTTCATTTTAAGTGTTGTGACCAATGTAATCAATGTAAGAGTTATTTTGGTGAATGAAAATGCAAGCTCTCATCTCGACAATTGAAATAGTAACTGTCACACCAAATATATGAACTACACTTCAAAGTATGCCAAAATACAACATTTGAATTCACAATACATTACATTAATAGCACTTCAAAATACTCAAACACATCCCTTAAACAGTCTTGTCCAAAATCCCTTAAACATACACATCCACAACATATAGCTCTGCCATGAAAGCTTGTCCAAATTCAGATAAAATACGTCTTCATCACTAAAGCTTTGCATATTATTTGTACAAAATCAGTTCAAATGTACTCCTTAAAGAGTTGCAATCCAAAATGATCCACAAGCCAAAATAAACATCACAACTCTTCAACCATTCACTTCAAATATATGACTAAACTCTCCATGGCCTTATTCGTTTTTATGGAGATTTGAACCTAGGCCTTTTTGGAGAAGTTGCCATTGTTTGAGGTTGTGAACTTGAACCTTGAGGAGCTTATGAAATTGGAGCTTCTGAACTTGAACCTTGAGGAGCTTGTGAACTTTGGATGAGTTGTGAAAGAGCTTGTGAACTTGAAGCTTTCACAGGTTAGGATCTTGAACCTTGAGAAGGTTGTGAATCAGCAAATAGATTGGTTTCCTATGACTTGGGAGACATGGGTTCCTCTTCTCACTTGTAGCAACCATAGCTACCTTAAGCCTTTTAAAGATACCACAATAATGCAATTATTGATCCAAAACATCAAGGTTTAATCCAAGTACTTACATTAAACTTTGGTGTGACATGAGTTTGTTGTTGTTCACTCACAACACATCTACCTCTCACAACACCTTTGCCCTTGACACCAACCGTTCCACTTGCAGTTTTTGTTCCACTTGCATTGGCACTAGAAGTATCAACACCTCCATTAACAATTGCAGCTCCTTTTCCCCTTGTACCTCTTCCCTCACATCTCATCTTCCCCTCCTATCGCCTCTTGCTCTAGTACCTCTAGGTTACCTTTTCATTGTCAATAACAACAAATCACATGTAAACATAGCAAAAACAACACATCATATGTTAACATAGCCATTTTCAACAAATGAAATGTGTAAAAAAACAAATGAATAAATTATATATATATATATATAACCTATCCATTTTGGGAAAAACTTGCAAATTGTGACCTACTTGTCCACAGTTGCGGCATGTCAATACAATGCCATACCTCCTTAGTTTTGTTCTCCCTCTTGGCATTTCATCAGGTTCTTTATTTTTGCTCAGTTTGGGCCTTCCTAGTTGGATGTAATAAACAAGTGGCTTGATAGGTATATGCCCTATTTTTCTCCAATATGCTTGACTAGGCATTAGAGATATATAGCCCTCATAAGCCCTGTCATATGCCGGCCTTTTTTAAATTGCATGCACAAAATCCAAAGGTTTGTGCTCACTCTTTGTTATCACAACCAAGGCATGTGCACATGGGGTTCCACTTAAGTCCCATTTTCTGCAGGTGCATATATGCCTTTCTAAATCCACAACAAACATAGCTCCCAACGTACTATTAACTTGATACTTCTCCCTAAAAACATATAAAGCTATGCATTGGCCATTTTCAATTGTATTCTTCTCCATAATAACAAATATTCTTGGACCAATTTCATGGGGTCACACTATCTCTCTAAGTCTAGCCATTCTGAGCATCAAGTATGTTCTAATTCTCTCCAAAAGAGTAACAATGGGCTTATACCTTGCTTCTAATATTGTAGCATTAAAACACTCACACAAGTTGTTTAGAAGTATATCACACTTTGGGACTGTACTAAAGTGTGATCGACTTCAATGAGCAACTAGTCTCTCCTCAAGCTACTTATATGCTGCCTCAGATTGGCCCAACATCTGCTCTATTTCAACCTCAAATATAGGTAATGTTGTTGGCCTAGTTGCTGCCCACAATCTCTGCTTCAAAGTTAGATCAGCATGGCCTGCAAGCTTGAAATCATTGTGCAAGTGCCACACACAATGCATGTCCTCAGCATTGGGTATCAAAGCATGAATGGAATTCCCTAAACCTTTTTGAATACCAACATCTTGAAAGAATATATCAAAGAAACAACTCCAAGTCTCTGTATTTTCAACTTCAACAACAACAAAAGCAATTGGATACATCCTATTAGGGTTTTTCCGCAGCTATGGTCCCTCAACTATACCCGTAATTGCATTGGGGTCACTGAACTCAATTATTAGTTGCAGAGGTCACTCAACTATGTGTTTCGTTGCACCGTTAGTCCCTACCGTCAAGTCTCTCTAACGGAAGGGACTAATGGTGCAACACAACACCTAATTGAGTGACCTCTATAACTATTTTTGGAGTTAAGTGACCAAAATGTAACTCCAAGTATAGTTGAGGGATCATTTCTACAAATAATCCTAACTGAAAAGTCACATTTGCCCATCAATAATTGGATAGATCTTGCTACATCATCATTTTAAACGTAAAAAACTAACGGACTTGACGGAAGGACTACTGGTGCAACGAAACACATAGTTGAGTGACTTCTGCAACTAATAATTGAGTTTAGTGACCCAAATGCAATTACGGGTATAGTTGAGGGACCATAGCTGCAAAAAATCCCATCCTATTACTTCCATCAACCCCAACTGCACTTAGAATCTGCCCTGGGTGAGAACCCTTAACATGACACTCATCAAAACCCACACTGGTCTACATCCTTCTACAAATCTTTTTTTAAGTGCTCCAAAACATATATAAATCCTCTTAAACATAGGATTCTTACCCTGCAAATCAGTCTTCACAATGATAGTACTTCTACGATTATTACTTTCTAACTCCTCACAATAATCTCACACTTTTCCATATTTCTCTTCAATACTAATTTGAATTCTAATTTTTGCAAAACTCTTGGCTTTATAAACTTGAGCCACAGTTACATCTATGGCATAATGTTTCCTCACAGTCTTTATGAAATCTGTCACCTTCATCTTGGTATTATCTCTTAACTCCTCATCAAACCTCTTAGATAGCTATGATGAACTACTGCAAAAACATCCATAGACACTGATGCAACAATATCATAGGCATCCTCTGCAGTCAATAGGCTCATATTGGATCACTAATTGTGAATAAGAATTTTGTGTCAAATTGTAGAGGATATCTAAACACGTAGGGCAACAACGATACAAGCATAGAACCTAGACTCTCTAGTGAGACTTGTTTTGCTCGAGAAGTTGACATCTATAATTTGCTCATCAGCATCACACTTACCATCATTTTGTCCAATACCAGCATCCACCGAGGACAAACCATTAAGCTCATTGCAGACTGTACTAGAGCTAGAGAGCTTAATGAGGCCAAATTCATCATAAGTTCAGCCATCCTCCGAAATGACAACAAATTCAGTGTCTTCAAATCCATTTGAATGTTTCAAGGATCTAGCATCTCTGTGGGAGTGATTTTTGTCCCTTAGAATATTTGATGAATATATTTCTCTTTCTCATTCCTCGAACTCTTTCTCCCTGCAAAACCAATCGGAATAAGAGGACCACCCCCTGGGGGGCGTGTTGACCAAAGGCGCTCTGATGCCTAAGTTAGTTCTATTGATTCATAGAGAAACAATAGTTAAAAAGGGTATGGAGCTCTCGCGGGGAGAGAACCGGATGACCAAAGCCGTGTGTAATGGCCGAAGCCTTGTGTAAGAAAGAGATGGAGGTGGCAACAAGGAGGGGAATTTCTGCAGTAATTTGAGAGCTTAGAATGGCTTACCTCATGCCTTGCATAGCCTTGTATTTATAGAGCCTCATAGGGTTAGGGTTTGGAGAAAAATAATCCTTGTTGGGAAAAGAATTATTTTTCCTAATTTTAGGATATTTAAATCAATTAGGGATTTAATGAGGATCAAATCCCTAATTCAAGGCAAGAATCCCCAAATGAAAGGAAATATTTGACCTAGGATTTTGCTAAAATTCGGTTCCCACAATCTCCATTGACAACTACATGGTTTTTGTCATTTTCTGGCTCATGCGGTTTAGGGCTTGTCACAATTTTTTTTTTTTTGGACATCGGCTTGTCACATTCTGGTCATTCAAAGTTTCATCTGAATCAAGAAGAGATTTATCCAGAGTAGAGTTCATTAGGACGCTTTTCTGTCCAAACAAATCAGAAATTTCAAGTCCACGGACAGAATTAGGATGACCCAAATCAGAAAGAAGCGATTTCTAGATTTGAGCGGTTGCTCTGGAATTGAAGTGATTTCACCTAATGTTATCTCAAGCTTGAAAAGACTAGATGACTTGAGAATGGGAAACAGCTTTAACCAATGAGAGGATGAAGGAGTCAATGTCCAAAGAAGTAATGCTAGCCTTTCAAAGCTGAAGCACTTGTCTAAGCTAACCTCATTAGACTTACATATTATAGATGGCAACATTCTTCCAGAAAACCTGTTCTCTGATAAGCTAGAAAGATACCACATATTGATTGGCAATGCGTGGAAATGGCATGGTGTGGATGAAACCTTCAACACTCTAAAACTCAAGCAAACCACCCGCAATCAATTGGACCAAGGTTTAAAATTGTTGCTGAAGAGATCTGAAGCTTTGTACTTGGATCTCCATGTCCAAAACAATGCTGACATTACATATATCATTAACTCAATCCATTGGAGTTACACTCATAATGCCTTCCCCATATTGGAGTCCCTATTTCTTGACAACCTTGTTAGTCTAGAGAGTGTTTGTTATAGCCAACTCACAGCTGAGTCTTTTTGGAAATTTAAGAATCATAAAAGTGGAAAGCTGTCACAGATTGAGGAATCTCTTTTCATTTTCCATTGCTAGTAATGGATGTGAAGGACTCCAGGGAGAACCTTCAAACTGATGTACCATCCTTTTTTAGGAAAGGTAAATTACACCTCTGTTTCTCTTTATGCAGTCGTTTAATTTATTTCCAATATGTTCACTTCAATTTAAATGATTTCTTAACAAGCCTTATGATGAATATACATATATGCATGTAGGATTTTCTAACTAGGAGACATTGCTCATGCTTGGCCTAGCAAAGTTTATGGCAATATGGGAAACTCAATTTACTTGCTCCAAACTCTTTTTGCAAACTCATAGTAGTTCAACTTGCATGTCCAGAAAACATCTTTGGACCTAGTATTTGCTGACATTTGTATATAATTAATTGTAATTAGCTGCATAGCTGTTTGATTAGTTCTCCTACATGGGAGTTTGACTTTTAGCCTTAATCTCCTTCTTCTGTATCAAGCTGTGAACTATCTAAATCTCTTCTAGGACTGAAGAATGACATATCATCATCAGCACAATAGTATTCTTTTTGTCTCACTGGATGTCATGTCCCGTGAGGATTATCATTATTTTTCTACTCATCTTTCTGAGACTTCTCGTCAGGAGGAAAACTTGAGTAGTGAAGATAAGTTTTACGTTGATCCGATTTGGGGAATAAAAATAGAACAAATGGAAACAAAACGAAAGCAACAGTTCTTTGACTCTTCTTCCTGTAGGTCATCATCGTAAGAGTTGGAATGTCAAAAAAGTGATAAGGCACCTCTCAAGCAACATGATTAGTCGGTTGCCCCAACGACAAGTAATCCTGAGGTAGAGTTTTGTTGAATATGATTCTCCTGTTGTTCCTTCCTGATGATCCAATTGATTGTTGCATTGATGATGACTTAGAAATTCCTATTTCCATGAGGAAAGAGATTGAGGAATTGAGAGCTCTCAGAAGGAAGTCTATTTGGGAGCTAGTGGAGTTACCAGAAGGAAAGAAAAAGGTTGCTTACAACTTGCAAGTGAGATGTAATTAAAACTTTGACACTTAAATCATTGTTGAATTGGTAACCCCAAGCTCGAAGTCATTAGAGCATTTCCAACAGCTAAGGCTGGACTCGGGCTAGGGGGGATTTGGCCAAAAAGTGGTTTCTAGCAACAAAAGCAAGCCCGGGCAGATGGTGGGACCCAACAGACTAGCTAGCCCGAGGGCAAGGCTGACGTCAGCACGCGCCAACTTTAAAAAAAATTTGAACACGCCGCTACAGTGCCCTCATCCACGTGGCGCGCGCTGGGCTCTCCGATAAAATTTTTTCCAACAATCCAACGACAACCAATTTTTGTGCAATAAATGACTGGAAAAAAATCAAATTATTATTTTTTAAATACCAAAAAAATTACTGATTTTTTTGTACAGATTACCTTATTTCCATTTTTAACATTTAAGTAAATGAAAGTAAAAGGACAAAGACATTTACTTAAGTTTACAATGTAAATAAGGAAGTACCCCCCATTTGGATTCAAATAAAAATACTAGAAAATCAAATTCCCACCAAATCAAAATATAAAAAATCGGTTTTAGTGGAAAATACGATTTAGGCTAAAAATGATGGCTCATTAAGTCAATATATATTTCATACTAAAATCCCATAAAATCAAGTTTTCTTATTTGATGTACAAGGAATAAAAGCCGCCAATATATTGAGAAAATGATTATTCTGAAAAACCATTTTTCATATTTAGTCAATATTGCACCTTAGCTAAAAAAATTCTGGGTCCCCCGGTGTCTATAACTACCAACCAATACTCTTCCCTTTTAACACCAAATCCTCGTACTTTTTTTTTCTATAAGTACCAACCAATACAACTAATAAAATAAAATCTTATTCAAAAATATTATCAAAATTAATTGTTTAGGTAAAAAGAGTTGTGAAAAAGAAAAAGAATAGTATTTGTCATGGCAAAGGGCAACTGTTGGAAACACACATTGCTTAATATGACAAGGGCGGCTACTATTCACGTGAATAGTAGCTGCCCTAGCCCCCCCTTGCCATGACAAGGGGCAAACTGCTGGAAGTGCTCTTAGTATAGATGATGGCCCAATATTTAACAGGACCTCTATGCAAGTCCAGTCAATGTGAGGCAAACGAAATCTAAAAAATACAATTCTCTTTTATGTTTAGTCCGTAGAAAGGGTTTTTGGGGTGTGGACTTTGGGTTATAAAGATTTAAACACAGTTTTCTTCTTGTCAAGATACGTAGGGCAAAGGAAATTGAAGTGGATCCACTGTGGGTCAATGGGGTCACTCGACCTTGTGGAAGCTTAATATATGGATGGAAGGTCCCTCCGACAACCCCTTGGAAGCTTGTTTGGCGGCCTTCATATACCCACCAAGTGTTGATGAAATGTCTCAAGGACATTGAAGGTTTTTTAAATTGACCTGGCCCCAAAGGAAGAATATACACAAACAATTTGTTCAGCCTTTCCCCACCAAGCCCAGCCCAACATTCTCCCCACAAAACCCCAAAGAACCCCTAACCCTAACCTCCCAAATCCCCACCTGCTTCCTCGTTCAGGTGGTGCTGCCGCCGCCGCCGCCGTTCTGCCTCCATCTATCACCTTCTGTGCCGCCACTTTTCGGAACTTTTACAGCACAACCCGTTGAGACAGCTAAAGGGTAACCCTAACTTTCCATCCGACATCATACCTGAGATTCTTTTAAGGCTACCAGTGAAGTCATTATGCCGCTTCAGGTGTGTATCGAAGTCATGGCGTTCTTTAATCGCCGACCCCGATTTCGTCAAGATGCACCTTAACAAATCTATTAAGAATGAGGATATTTTCAACCAAAGTCAAAGGCTTATATTTACTGACCTCTCAACCAGGTTACTTTACTCTTTAAACCTCGATGAATTTCTCGGTAATAATAATGAATTTCCCAATAATAATAATAATAATGATGCAGTAGTTGATAATTATCTTGGTAAAGATAACGAAAACCATATTGATAAAATTCATGCTGATGATGATGTACTAGTGCCCACTGATCTCCACCATATTTGTAAACTGCCAAGTGATTGGGTTTTCTTGTTGTTTCACTCCAATGGCTTATTGTTGTGCCTGTTACATAACGGCGGTTTCTATCTGGTTAACCTTGCAACAAGAGAATCCAAGAAACTTGCAGATATACCAGATGTCGGAAAAGGGTATTATTCCAGCTGCGTTGGTTTTGGTTTTGATCACTCCTCTGGTGATTACAAGGTCGTTATATTATATTTGGAAGGTGGAATTATGTTCAGTGTCTACACGTTGAAACCTGGCTCTTGGCGAATGATTCAAAGGCGATATCCCTACCAAGTTGAGCCAATGCAGAAAGGGATACTTCTGAATGGAGCCCTTCATTGGTTGTTGATGGATAGAGTTAGAGTTGAACATCGGTCGGTGATTATATCTTTCAATTTAGCAGAGGAGAATGTCCGAGAAATTCCACTACCTCTTGCTTCTATTGATACGAGATATTATATTGTTGGGGCCTTCAGAGATTGCTTATGTTTAATACATAGTGGTACTGATGGAGGAATGCACAATGAGTTTTGGATCATGAAAGAATATGGCATGATGGAGTCTTGGACTAAAATAAGGAGCCCCATCTCATATTCTGTATTACGACACCCTGGTTTTTGGAAGAAAAGTCATGATCTCTTGGTGTTCAGGGACCGATTGCTTTTGTGCAATTCTAATGGTCCAAGATTTCGGAATCGTTCAATCTCCGGATTACCTGAAGTTAAAGAAGTTGGGATTTACTTGGAAAGCCTTGTTTCCCTGAATAATAATGTTGACTGAGGACAATGTTTAAGTACGTAGGATATGGAGGAGGATGTTAAGAAGATGAACTCACTTCATCTGTATCTATGGCTCCAAAACATGGAATTGTCATTTATCTCTGCTATTTTCTTCGTATTCAATTTCCTTGGGGATGATTTTAATGTTTGTTAATTTTATTTTAGCGATGATTTTGCATTCTCGCATAAAAAGGGGCTAACTCCTCGTTAAGTGGCTTGGCTTGGACTGGGTTGGAGTCAAGTCTAAGTTAGTCCTTATGAGTCTCACTCCTCTATATGGGACTTGTAATTGTTGCTCATTTTAATTGAAATAGTCATAGTCTAGTCCCACCCACCAAATGTGGCCGTAACACACCATGGCCTAGCATTTATAAGTTTACCAAACAACCAAGACACTAAGCAAGACACTTGTCCAATTTAATTGAAATAGTACATAACAGGAATGGTAGATAAATCAAGCAAGCAAGGGAGGCGGTCAATTGAGATTACACCAAAATGCTACGGCCCAAAGCCTGGTGACATGCTCTTAAACTGCAAAGCACTGCATTATGTCAAATGCGTAGTAATTTATTTGATAAGTTACCAAAGAATACTCAGTATACTCAATGTAAAAATCAGGGTTTACACGGATAAGCACCCTGGTCATAGACGAGTGTCATCACCAGTTACATTGTTAAGAACAGAAAAGAATGAACTACATGATACAAACCAAAACTTTCCTCTAATAAATTTCTACAAGACTTAGCTTCAGTTCTTATAAGTCGTTTACATGTGGCTCCGCATTCTCCTGCAGTCATGTTATGTGTTACGGACATTTATCAATTGTGGAAAAATAGCATCCAGTAGGAAAAAATTAAACATTTATGTAAAACTGACAAGCAGGAAAGAACATGAAATCAAAATGATGCGATCTTTCATCCCTACTATGGTGTCAATTGTTTCAATTTTTAAATAGTTAATGTAGATTGTGTTTAATAATAATAATAATAATAATAACAACCATGTTGACCAAAACAATAATAATAACCATGGCCGGGCCATGCAGCCACCAGAGTTGCCTCTGGGTTTAGAGGGGCCCTCCTGGGCTATGGACAGCCATGGCTGGGAGATGGGGAAAATGGTGGAGGAGGAGAAGGGTGGAAGGGGATGGGAAGAGATGAGAGGATGAGAAAAAAAAAATTCTGTCAGTTTTTCCAGTATTTTGTATACAATAATTCAATAAAATTAGATGCGTGTGTTGAGCAACAACTTGAGTGCAAACAGTTTTATCAGAATTCAGAAATAATATTGCACGAGAGAATATACTCTGGCACAGGCAGCTCTGCATTCTCCAACAGACATTCTATATGTCATGACACAGCATTCATGAACTGTTAAGCAAACACTACAAACTATAGAAAAAAGCATATGTCTAAACTGAATAGTGGGGAAAAAAATGAAGAAGGCCCCTATTTTTTGAGAAGAAGATGAAGGTCCTTGTGCTTGCCGCAAGGTAGAGAGAGAGAGAGAGAGAGAGAGAGAGAGAGAGAGAGAGTCGCTAACTATTACAGTATATCGTTTACTGTCAATGGAATGAGATCCTAGATCAAATAAAGATTTCTAGATTAGAAATTAAATGAGGAGATATTTATTTGCATTGTAGACAAGAAGGTGCAACTTACATCGGCAAGAACAAATTTCACTTACACGAAGGTACAGTAATCGTCTACTATTTACTTTTTACTTTTGAGCATATTAGAAGTCAAGTGAATAAAAAGTTTTAAATAAAAAAATCAAAACAATTACTCCAGCTGTAAGTTGAATTCACTTTTGTGGATAAACCAAATTTGGACTCTACGCCTAGAAATAACTGATAGAAAGATATCATATGACTCATATGCGACTAAGCATTCCCACTATAGTGGCTAGGGCTTTTCACTATAAGCACAGCCATTCTCTAACCTGTATACTTGGTAATTTCTAGACCTTGACCTTCTACTAAGTAATTCTGAATTGTATCCATCATGACATTTTAATTTCCTTTCCTTTCTTTTGATTTTGAATTTCTTTCCTGCACAACTGTTCTATTTTCAGCTCTGATTCTGAAAGATGAACTTCATCAATAACATTGTCCTTAACACTCTAGGTTTTTCTAAATCTCGTTTTTTCCACCAATAACCAGATTTTTTCAACCTAAAGAAAAAATCATTTATGTACTTTTAGGGTTCTGATCACATGCAGTATTGATTAGTGAAATAGTCTGGGATTTCAGTAAGATATCTACTTTAAACCTAAACGAAAGAATTACAAGGGTCAATTAAGATGACAACAGGGAAACTCTGCAAATAAGAAACTTAATATAACTGAAGACATAAAGCAATAAATAAATAAAACCCCACAAACAAACATATTGCAGATACAAATTAAAAGTTTTACCACAAGCAAAAACGAATGGTGTTACCAAAGACTAAATCACATAAATACCACTTACTATATAAATATGTAATTCCGCGTGCCACAGTTATCTGATGCTGGAAACAGAAACTCTGTTTATATGCTAACTTTGCTTGGAACCTGAGTCTAACAGAAGAAAAATCAGAAGAATATGCAAACCAAGTTATTAACCATATCTACCTAAGTTTTTGTTCCATCCTGTGGCCTGCTCAAACCAGTGGTTGCAGTCACGGACCCTGGACTCCCTGGTGAAGAGAAAAATGCTCCCAGAGCCTCTAGAAAGAACCTCTTATTAGGGACAATACCATCTTTGTCCATGCACTTCAGCAGTTTCTCTAGAAGCTCCTTCATGTTGGCTTTAGTGTACGCCTTATAAAGAAGTTTATATGTTGATACATTTGGGCGCACCCCAATACTATTTCCGTTCACAAAAAGCTTATCAGCTTCCACGGGCAAACCATTCATGCAGTAGACATCAAGCATCGCATTAAGCGTTGACACTTTTAGCTCCTTTCCAGAGTCAGCCAACCTGTCAAATACCTCCCTAGCTTTTGAAACACAATCACAGAACCCATACATCATGATAAGACTCTCATAGGTTATGAAGCTTGGTGTGTATTTCATGTCAATCATCTTCTTGAACACATCTTCTGCTTTCTCCTTAAGCCTTGCCTTCCCGTAATTTATGATCATTGAATTAAATGTAGGAAGTGTTGGTTTCTCCTTGGAACGAAGTAAGCTCTTAAATACCTGCTCCATCTTATCAAATTGTTGTTTCTTCCCATATGAATCAATCAGCAAATTGAAGGTGATGATGTCAGGCTTGCACTGATTACTTTTCATGCGAGAAAGAACAGATTCCATTTCTCTGATATTCCCATTTTTCCCATATGCATCCATTACACCATTATACGTGTAGATGTCAGGGGAAGCAATGCTCTCATCAAGATCCTTAAATAAAGAGTTAACTTTCTCTACATTTCGAGATTGTGCAAAAGCTCTCAAAAGAATATTATATGTCACAATGTTGGGTTGGCACCGTTCCATCCCCTTCATCTTGTCAAAGTATCTGAGAGCTTTGTCCAAAGCCCTTGCTTTGTCCTTGCTGTTGAGGTGGGCTGAGATGAGTGCATTGTAAACAGAAGTATCAGGCCGACACCCACTATTACGCATCTCAGAGAAGAGCCACATGGCCATCCGAGTTTGGCCTTTCTTTCCCATAACCGAAATCAGTTTCGAATAGACTCCATTATCAGCAACATACCAGCGCTGCTTTTGCATCCATCTGAACACCTGAGTGTGGGTTATGTAAGTGAAGCTACCTTTCATCCAATCATAATCGCTGCTAGAAAATGCTCAAATTGTAACTGAAACGTCTTGGTTCAAATTAGCTGTATATCATCAAGTTCACTGAAACTTAACTAAATTGTCCAGATATACATATATTTTTCTCCTCCAAACTCGTAAAATCATAGTCATGCACCCATGAGCTATTTCTTAAAACCCATAAAATTTATGTCATTGCCCAGATTTAACATGTGAAAAACTAGACTTAGAAATGCCTAATTTCTAGAATATAAACACATGCCGTTCTATTCCCTATATATTGTAACATGCACAACAACTATATACGAAAATCACATCGTTCAATCAAGCTTTCAACGATTATTGGGCTCCACAAACCAAACCAAATAAGCTCAATCATAAAGTATATCAACGACCACAAACACCACAACAAAAATTTCAACAATTTCAAAGACCCAAAAGCTAAAAATGCAGAGATTGAAAAAAGAGCTGACCTCTAAGCACTGAAGCCACTCGTCACTCTTCCCAAGCTCTTCAAAAAGCAGAAAGCAATGCTCAGTTCTAACAATCCTAACGTACTTGTTGAGCGTCTTCAACAAGGGCTCTTTGTCACTGAAGCTCCTCATGAGCATACGAACCACCTCACGGACATCCGGGTCCTCGGTCTTCGTTCCCGGTTTTCTTTTGGGTCGGGTCGAAACGCAGGAAATTCGGGTCATGGGTCGCTTCCGGAGAAGCACGTGTGGAAGCCATGGCTGTGTAAGGTTGGAGTTTTGTGAAAAAATTTGAGCAAATGCCAATGTGGAGGGATGGAGAGAGTTCGGTGAGAGACTTAAGGGCATTATGAGTTCTGAGTGGGTCTGAATTTAGAGGGAGAGTAGGAGGTCTTAAGGGAAGAACATGGTGGAGCAACCTGGGCAGCTTGGTTTTTGACTTGAAGGTTTCAGAGAGAATGAATGAGAGCTCAAATTAGCAGGGAGAGGAGATCTGTGAGAAAGCGGATGAGACGGAAGAGGGAGAGATGCGGTTTTCTTTTCGTTTTTAACTCTTTTTTCAATAATTATTATTTACTTTTTGGTTTTTACTTTTAACTGGCTCAATGCTGAACCAAAGCCATATGGGATAGCACTACAGTGAAAAAGGGGGTCAAATTCTTTCCCGCTAAGTGCACCCAGTTCCATTCATGTAGAATACAATCTTGAAATAACCCAATATAATTATGTCCCTGCCCCTCCTTAGTGAATAAGCAAAAAAATATGATGGACCTAAGGATCTTTAGTAGAAAAAACAAAAAAAAAACATGAAAGTTATGCATCAAATAACATAATTAAATTAGTTTCTTTAGTATTTCAATTCAAGTTGTTCGGTATGCCGATATTATTGTTTGACAAAAACCTACTAAGAGTATCTCCAACTGAAGTGTCAA